GCCAGTTTATTATACAATAGTTACAAAACCTTTGCAAGTATCCTGATGCTTAGTCTTGCTGTTTCTTTATATTCTATTTTGCATTTTGCTATTCTTCCATCTTGGGAAAGATAAGCTTAGTGGATCTTATTTGTTGCCAAGTTCTGTCCGATTCTGTTTTTATCTTATAATATCTTCATTCAAATTTTTTTGCTTACCTCGGTCAGTGAGTGAATTGACAAATTATAAAGATTCTCCATTTCTGTTTGTAAACTAAACTTTGTACCTATTACCTGCATTTTGCTGATGTGGTTCATCATAGTTTAGGAAATAAGCTGGTGTGATTTGCAAAATTTGAAGCTTAACCACTTGTTTGGCTGCTGCATGTGTCTGTTTAATTTCCCTTTGGAGTTTCATCGCTGCTTTTGTGCTTTGGGGGAAAATTGGTATTTTCTATTTCTTTCCATTCACAAGAACCAAAATAATCGTAGGCCTCCACCCATGAAGATCTTCTCTATCGTGTTCCTCAGTGCAACTTGGTTTTTAGTTTTCTTGATGTACGATTGTTTTCTTGCAAAGAAATAAATGAAATGGTTAACAGATATATCCATTTTATTTCTTTGGTTCCTTTTCTTCTCTATTTTCATTGGACTTTAGCATGAATATTTACAGTTCAAATAAAGGCCAAACTCTTTTGCATTATGTGATATTGCATTGTAACTTTTATCTAATACTTGCAATTCATGCGTTAGGTCCTGAAGTTGAGAGATTGGCAGGAATGGCTGGTAAATATAAAATTTATCTTGTAATGGGTGTGATTGAAAGGGAAGGATATACACTTTATTGCACTGTTCTTTTCTTTGATTCCCAAGGCCAATACATGGGAAAACATCGTAAGCTCATGCCTACAGCTCTAGAGCGTGTCATATGGGGCTTTGGAGATGGGTCGACGATTCCTGTTTTTGAGACTCCTATTGGAAAATTGGGCTCCCTCATTTGCTGGGAAAACAGAATGCCTCTCTTACGAACTGCAATGTATGGTAAAGGTAATTTCCCTCTTCTAATCTTTTGCTTAGGAATGGTGACTTCTTTGACATTGTTTTTCTCTAGATGGAGTCAAATCACTTTTGTTGAGATGTTCTATTCGCTTTTATCTTTATTTCTTGACTGATAAAAATATAAGTTGATTACCAAGCCTTAGCTCAGAGGCTAGTTGTCTTTCATGCTTTTTTTGTGCACAAGCAAGATAGCTTAAAAGCATTGTGGTACTCATTCTCAAAATAGTAAAATAATGATTTTATTTGCCTCTATACTTGCACACATTTCAGCTAGATTGACTTGATATATCAATAGTTTTTTCTAAATTTGAGGGATGTATGTCATTCATTCCCGAATTTGTTATAATATGGGACCACGCTTTGCTTGTGTTTACCAAATGTGTTAGCTATATAGGGATGCTCTCAAATGTTAAATTCATCTTGAGTGCTATCTCTACCTATATATGTTTTTTTCATTTGACACATCATGTGAATAAGGTGCTAGAACCATTGAGGGATCCTACAAATTAGTTTGTTAAATTCTACGTTTTTTTATCAAGATCAGGGATGAAAAGAAGATTGGCAAGCGGCAAATACTGAAAATGTAGACATTGTGGATACCACCAACTTGGCAGATTGACCATTGGCAAGGCACATCTATATTTTTCCAAAATTGGCAAGTTCGTGGAATTGGCCCTATCTAGGCTGCATCAAGAGTTTCATTGGGCCTTAGAGATTAAAACCCTGCTTTGGAGGATGTGGTTGAGTGGTATATCTGTAACGGGATCTTTCTAGACTATAAACTACTTAAAATTGGGTGAAAAGGAACTAGGGCTTATATCTATGGATTCCCAAACCCATTTCCCGGCTTTTCCTGTGTGAAATCATGACTTCCGAGTAAGTCAATATAATTATTCAAGCTGAAGGATTAATCATTTATTTTGCAGGTTTTAAACCAGGAAAAGGGCTAAAAAGACCTTGAGTCACTCATTTAAAATTTGAAAAGTTAACATGGGACTGCGCTGTTCTTTAAGTTATTACCGTATTACTACAACCTCAGCTACCACCATGGAACTTTACTGAAAACTTATGGGCTTTGATCCCTTCATCAAATTTTTTTGCAACGGTCACCGCAACACATTTGTTTTTCCTCCCAAGAGCTGGTCCCTAATTCATGACTGCTATTTTGTTTTCTCTGAAAATTTTATTTATTTTTACCCCTATGGTGGCAAAACGTGGTTTTTTATGTTTTTTCAAGTGAGAACTGATCCTGAAATAATGTGTGATATAAGTTATACTTTGGAAATTTTATCCTTTGACTCCCCAAATTTATTTCTCTATCATTCTTTCCCTCTCTCATGATGTATTATTTTATTCAGGAGTTGAAATATATTGCGCACCTACGGCAGATGCAAGGGAAACATGGCAGTCATCCATGACCCACATTGCACTTGAAGGGGGATGCTTTGTTCTTTCTGCAAATCAATTCTGCCGAAGAAACGATTACCCCCCTCCACCTGATTATGTTTATGGGAACATGGAGGAGGAACTCTCACCAGACTCTGTTGTTTGTTCAGGAGGCAGTGTGATTATTTCTCCATCGGGTGCTGTGTTGGCTGGACCCAATTATGAATCAGAGGCTCTGATCTCTGCTGATTTAGGTATGACAACCTTGATACACTTACGAGGAAGTATACTGACAATGGAGAACCATAGTTCATTGGGACCATCCCCATCCAGTGTCATGATGGCTGGTGTTGGAAAGAGATATTGGACCCTACAGAGGAAGATGAGATCCTAATGGTGGTCCCACCCTCTCTCTCACCATCCATTATATAGTAGATGGTAGATGGTGATGGTCCCAATAAAATATGATTATTCATAGTCCATTTATATTTTCCATACGATGGCGGTGGAATGCTCAAAATATTGCAAACTTGTTATATTCACAAAATTTAAGTAGCCTTGATTTTCATAATGAAAAATCTGATTCATCCTGTTTCACTGGCAAAACTGCCATGGCCTCCTTTTGGATGAAATATGTGAAGTCTTTTCTTCCCCTCATGTTTTACGAGTGATTTCTTTTGTAAAACTGAATTATTCTAAAAAGCCACAAGGCAATCATAATTTGTTCATTTCTAGATTTGGAGGCACGGTTATTTCTTTTCTTTTATTCACCAGTAAAACTAGGTTGCTCACTAATATTCGGGAACCAGAGAAAATTAAGATCTATCTGGATTGGAAAAACAGCAAATCACATGGAAACTATGGCTTACATGGTAAGTAACCTTATTATTTGAAAATAACTTAACATTTATCAACCTTATGCAGTTAAGTTCACATGAAGGTCCTATGATTTGTGTTTTAGTATAATGTAAGGTTTAAAAAAACGGATTAGTGACTCGAATCGGTCACACCCATAGCTGTGTCGAATTAGAGAATCGGTGGATCGGATCTGAGAATCGGCGGAATCTGTAATTTTTGTCCCAAATTGTTTAAAAAAAATCACTATAAATCTCTAAAAATAGTGTTCTTTTAGTTTCTAAAATAAATTAGGAGTGATTCATTATGCGCTTTCATTACTTTATAAAAATAGGTGAATAATGAAATGATGTTTTCATGTCTGGATGTTTGTATAATTATTAATTATAATGTAGTATTTTAATATTATATCAAAATAATTTAAAATATTAAAAAACACTTCCACATTATATGATTAAAAAAATAATTTCCCATATAATGTGAAATTCGTATCGCATCAAAGTATCAAACATATATTAATTCGCTTTACTCATCCAAAATTATCACAACCTAACTAACTATAATATTATATACTAAAATTGAAACTGTTGGTTTATATTTTATTATTATTTTACATGCAAATTGGAACAAATCTAAAATGTCTTATAATATCACCTAATTTAGAAAAGGACACGGTTTCTACGCGGCCAGTCCGTATATTGTAGAAATGCAGGCTTGGTAATAAATATAGTTTTTAAATAAAATTTGATCATAATTTTTAGAGAATATATAATCTTTAACATGGAGATGATGAATATGACAAAAAAAAAATTGAAAACTAGAAATAATAATTATATTAAGAAAACATTTCGACCGTTAGTTACACTTGTTTTTAGATGGACCACCTATTTGCATCCATCTTTAAGATAGATGCTTTATACCTCTGGACCGCATATTGTAGAAATGCGGTCCAGCTCGCATGAAACAATTTTCCTTTAAAAACTATTGTTTACAAGTACAAGGGAAAAAATACATTATATAATTTATATTGCAAATAAATTAATAAATATAATCCCAGATTTGGGTGTATAATTATTATTTATAATAAACATGATTGAAGAATTTCTATATAACAACTTAATACATTTCAAAATTATATCAAATTTTTATTGCTATATAAAATAAGTTACTATAATAATAACAAATTAACAATAAATTATTTGTTAATATTTGTAAAAGTTAAAATATATTACTTATAAATACCATTTAGACTAAATATGAAATCTACCATTGATTTTATTTCTAGAAATGAAAGCATCCAAAGGCCGGCCATCTACCATTAGTCCTAGTATCTAATGGCAAAGAGGAGCAACTCCTCTGCAATGGCGTTTCAAAAGTAGACAAATGGTGACTTCCACCGTCAATTGATGAGATTAGCCAGTTTATGTTAGCATAAAATGGACAAAATAACATAGGGGTGGCGATGGGAGAGAGAGAGAGAATATGCGATAATTTGAAATGGAAGGAATGGGACAATTGTCCTACATCGAAGAGTAAGTAGAAGTTTAACATTTATAAAAGCGCTAACAACTGCCGCATTTGTGCACATGTGGTATAATGGGAAGCAATTGTGATATCAAAGCTTTGTTTTTTTGGAGTCTTTGTTCTGTTATAGATTTACTCATCTCATCGGTAATGTTTTTACCACTTTATGGAGACTTGGATTTTAAATTTTAAATTATACGAGGACGCCAGTCCAGTGGACTATGGAAAAAACCATCCATTGGATTCACGGAATGGATGGTGTTGTGGAGAGTGGTGGAACGCAGCATTGGGGACCTCTTTTCTGGTGATCATCTCTTCTTCAGTCCCATTCCATCATTTCTTCGCAATGGGCAGTGTCATCACATATTAATTGGACATTTTAGTATCTTCCATTTTATTTATCTCTAGTTAAGGAAATTTCTTGGGACTTTATCATAATGACAAACTGCTTTTTATTCTAATGGTGTAGATTTTGGAGAAATTGTGCGAGCCAAGTTTTATTTTGGGACTTTATCATAATGACAAACTGTTTTTTATTCTAATGGTGTAGATTTTGGAGAAATTGTGCGAGCCAAGTTTTATTTTGATGTGGTTGGACATTTTGCGAGGCCTGATGTTATGAGCCTGACTGTGATGGACCACCCATTGGTGCCTGTCTCATTCGCTTCCAATACCAATGCTGAAGGGCCAAAAAAGTTGTTATAGTGGCATTTGGTTTTCTAAAATGCCCCTTTTTAGTATATTTTGGCATCCTTAATGTACAATAATGATGCACGTATAAAGCTTCTATGTTTCTCTGTTTCCTGTACTTCTTTTAGTACATTTTATCAACTTTAATGAATGAAGATGCATTGCATCTTATGGTTAATGAGCTTTCTTTCACTTCACAATGGCATCATGATCTTAGGGGCTTCTTTGTTGTAACTTTTCTATCTAGCCCAAAGTTTGTTATATGTAAATTTTATGCCCAGCATTTACAGTTGAAGATGAGGTAGTCCTATTACTGGGAAAGACTTGATGTAAATTACATACCCAACATTTCCAATTGAATATGAGGTGGTTCTATACAGGGGAAGGCTTAAATTATTGATGAATTTGTGTCATTGAAATTTGTGTTACTATTAACATTTGCCTGTTTAGGGCACTGCGCAATTGCAGTTGCAGTCTTGGCTGCTCCATTTTTATGTGTTTATATTATTGTTTGAGTTCATATAAACGTATAGTTCAGATGAATGTGGCTCTCTCTCCCTCTCTCACACAATATCTCTCTCTCTCAAACATACAGTGCATTGTACCATGAGAATTTGAATGTCGGTAATTAGATTCCGTGGTCCTTATCTTCAAATGTGCTCACAGTTTATTGGGGGGACAATCCCATTGGAAAGCAGAAAGGGATCTGTCAAAAGTATAGAAAAGGAAAAGTATAGGGGTGAAGAGAAAAAAAATGAAATGTCCGTACAAAACAGAAAACCCAATTGAATACGTCAAGCCTCATGAACAGGTCCCCTTCGATTACTCAATATAGTAATTTCCAAGGTCCCAATCGACCACCATTTCCTTGTCTCTGTACTCGCATTGAAATTCTCGAAGTAGGGTTTGTCCTGTTATCCACCTCTGTTTCTCTCTCTCTCTCTCTGCTTCTTTCTGCAGGTCTTGAAAAGATCCAATTCTGGGTACTAAATGGCTTCCTCTGCAACTTATTTCTTCAAGTCCTGAAAAACCAAATTATGGGGGCTGAAATGGCTTCCTCAGCAATGACAGTAGCTGCACTAATTTTCTCTCTCTTCTCTTTGTCCAACTCAATCAACACTCTCCCTCTCTCCTCCCATTATAGGTCAATTGGAAGACCATCCCCTCCCTTCCCTTCCCTTCTTCTCTTATTAAACCTGAACTTTTGAGGCCAACTATTAGCTATTCAAGTGAGAAGGTCTATTATGAGATTAAGTATTTTACACAGACATTCGATCATTTCAACTATGTTCCATGGGGCAATGAAACTTTTCAGCAGAGGTATCTCATTAATTCTAAGTACTGGGGTGGCCCCATAGACAAGGCTCCAATCTTTGTGTACACAGGAAATGAAGGGGACATCGAATGGTTTGCACAGAATACAGGCTTCATGTTTGATAATGCCCCTTATTTCAAAGCCCTCTTAGTTTTCATTGAGGTAACAAAATCCCTCTCTCTCTCTCTATCTCCCTCTCGTATCGATCTCTATCTATCTATATGATTTTTGAAATTGGTGTCGTTCCATCTCTTTTGGTGTGGGTTTTTCAGCATAGATATTATGGGGAGTCTATACCTTATGGGAGTGAGGAGATTGCTTATAAGAATGTTACCACCCATGGGTATCTGAGTTCGGCTCAGGCGTCGGCTGATTACGCGATGTTGATCATTGATCTCAAGAAGAATTTGTCTGCCAAAGACTCTCCAGTTGTGGTCATGGGTGGTTCTTATGGTGGAAGTAAGTTTGAGAGAGCGAGAGGCAGAATTCTGTTGTCATGAGAGATTTATGGTAGAGAGAGAAAAGCATGTGTTTATTTCATGGTTTCCTTTGTAGTGTTGGCTACATGGTTCAGGTTAAAATATCCACACGTCTGCATTGGAGCTTTGGCATCTTCCGCTCCAATTCTAAACTTCGCAGACATTACCTCTCCCTATTCCTTCAATAACATCGTCACCGAAGATTTCAGGGTCTCTCTCTCTTGTTTTGATATGGATTCATTTAGTTTGTTCCCCTCCCTCTACTAATCTTATTAGATCTGTCGCTCTAATTTGTAATTATGGTTCTTCTGTTTGTTGAATAGAGCGAGAGCGAGAACTGTTACAAGGTGATAAAGAATTCATGGCAGAAAATTCAAGAAACCGCACAGCAGCCAGGGGGACTTGAAGAGCTTAGAAAGTCTTTCAGAATCTGCCCGTAATATTTTTACTTTTTCTACACCTTTAGCGAAATTTGCCAAATTTAGTTGCTTTGGGCTAAACTCTCTCTCTCTCTCTCTCTGTGAATTTGCAGGAATTAGATTAGCGAAGATTCGTTGACAAATTGGTTGGAAAGGGCGTTCATATACACGGCCATGACTGACTATCCTGTTCCCTCTAGCTTTCTTGCACCCCTACCTGCTTTTCCCATTAAACAAGTATGTTACTTTACCCAACTTTTTCTCTCCGGACTTTTCGTTCGAGGTCTTTTTCGAACCCTAGTTCAATGAACAATGAAAAGGTGTTATCATGATCGAACCAGCTATCCAATTGTTA